GAGCTTCAGCAACAAATGAAACAGCTGAAAGAAAGAACCGAAAAACGCTGAATGCCATACTTTCCACTCAGATGTACTAGTTAATAATAGTAGCATGCTGCTGTTGATAGGAGCAGCCTGGGCTGGTTTTGTACAGGCCGATCACTAATATCCTCGAATCAGAATAAAAAGATTAGCCCATTGTAGATAATTATTTTTGGCTCAAGTTTCGGATCAGCTATCTCTATTTGCTTTCATTTTGTTCAACAACTCATTTTCAAATGATACCGACCTGTAGTGAATTATATCTTTATAAGTTTAACTGTAGCTATTTGTAAAGTAAAATAGTTGCCACTAGATTGTTTTTTTACGGAAGATGCTAAAATACTTAAGTTTGAAGTCTGTTTACTGAGTCGAATGTCCTAATTACTACTGCTACTGCAGATTTACGACCTACAATTGAATACTGAATATATATTTATTTTCCCCAAAACACTACTGTAGTGACAAAACCAACCTAAAGTTGTCAGATATGTAAAACGATGTATTGTCAAATATGCCATATGGCAGTCGAGAGCTGATAAACTTTCATCTGAAGCATCGTCTAAAATGGCATTTGCTAGCAAATCTGTTAAAGAAAGTGTCAGAAATTGATTCGAAAGATACTGCAGAAGAATACAAGCATTTTTACACGTAAAAGATAGTCAGTGAACAGCATTGCAACAATGGGTTTTCCTTTCTCTAATTATTCACACAACCTGTCTAGCGAGTTTTTTAACCGAGTTTACTAACATCTCCAACGTTCTTACTGAAAAGTTTAACTAATAATGTCATTTTAAGCGCTGTTTTTACAAGTTCCTGTTTCAAACAAGATGAAACACTTCTGCCCTAAAAGCTCGGAAAAGCAGGAACGACTGCATGTGACTGATTATGAAAATTACCCGGAACAAAATGAAAAAACCGATTTTTGCAGTCCACTTGGCTAAAATCCAAAAGCATCATTCGTATCTGAAAGTAGTTAAATCCCGCCCATTACCCTGTTAGCACAAGCAACGGATCAATAGGATCGCTACCTGGCTGCTGCAGCTTTGGTATTCACATCTAGCTAGCTATTCAGTAGCTATTAAAAATTAAGCCAGAAACTTGAAAGCACATATTTTTGCCCACATTTGGAAACAACGTATACACGGTTTCGTCCTGCCCTCCCAGTCTTTTTCCCGCAAAGAAAACGTCATGTTAACTATTTCAAAAACAGTCGAAGAAATACAACAATTTACCTGGGAAGTGGCGGAGCGCAAAAATAAAAAATACGGGAAAGCGGGTACTTTTCAAAAACTTTGCGCTACTTTCATGATCCTTTGTTTTTTGATCATGTTCAAGTTGAAATTTCAAACACCTATAACCGCATTTCTATCACTAAACCCACTTTTACCAAAGCCGCAATACCCACACTTGAGAGGAGAGAAGAGCAGCTTAAAACGTTAAAAATACAGATCACGCACTTCCTATGAATTTTTTAAAGCTTTCTTTCGTTAAACAAAGTTCCAGCTGTTTGAAAAAAACAAACAACTTTTAAAAGTTTGGTATCCCAGTCCTCTTCACTTACGAAGCACAGTGAAACAAGTGACATGAGAGCAATGTAAAAGACTACATCACTGGTGGTTTCACTAAACCGACCAGTCGTCGACACAACCATTAACATTATTTTGCATTGTGCGCTCCTCTGAGAGACGCTTCCTGCTTTAAAAAGATCAAACAATTTTGTATATTTACTAAGCCATCCTTTGAATACGAGTTGCAAATGTCCACAATCCACCACATTACCAATTTGAGCAGCCTTGCTGGATCAAACCCCTAATTCAAATCATTTTAAGCCCCAGAGGAGTCATGGTTGTAATACGCATTTTCAACTTTTACCAAATACCACCAACCAGCTATCCTTAACATCTTCTTCCCTTTAGAGAGAGCTCTCAAAAACCTCACCCTTCACTCCCTCATCTCTCCTGTCGAATAACTACCATAGGATTTCTTTAACTACAGAAGACTACCCTACCCTAAAAAACTACTTTCAGGCCTTCTGCCTTTCCTTCCAACTCCACACCCGAAGTCATTTGTAAATCTGCTCTTACCGTTTGTCCTTTTAGCGGTTGAACGTTTCTTCCATGAAAGATACCAAAAAACCATTTTACTATGTATATTCTGTTACCTAGGAACGTTTTTTGAGAGGAAGCCGCAAAAATTCTAGAATCATTTACTTGTAGGTGCCTTTATCACGACTACTTTAGCCAGCATAAAACACCAAAGCCTCTATCAGTGCAAATATATGTCAGACAATCACTGCAAATTAAGAAATTTACCAAGCATCACTGTCAGAAGACGCTATAGAAATAAACAGTGTACAGTAAAACCGATAATAGAAACACTACATATCTATTTGCTACTTCATGCATTAGATAAAGCTAAAGCCCGCTAAAACAGCCAGTTTTTTAGACAAATAATAGTTAACGCGTAGATGCA